AGGGAAAGACATTTTATTTAAATCTTACCTTTCCCAGTCCAAGTGTTTGCAACCCAGTGCATCTCAGGTTAGCAGTCAGGAAAAACAGACAATAAAACTTACAGGAGGAAGAAGGAGAAAGGGGAGGGGGATTTCCTGAAATGGATTTATCTGCTTTTGCTGTCTCATTGAGTGAAAGGCAAAAGAAAATAAATGAACAGAACAAAAGCTGAATGAAAACTAGAATGCAAAAGTTGCTTCATTTTTAACAATCCAAATAAAGTTTAGTAACATAGCTGAAGCAACCTGAGAGATATCTGTTTGCTTACGAATCATCTTTAGGTTTTGTACAGACAACATTTAAAGTCCTTTGACAGACTGAAAATACCTTTTTGTTTTTCCCCCCTAGCTGTTTTCCCTTTTCCTGGTATTCATTTTCAACTGTAGAAAAATCCCCAGGGTTTTAGATTTGGGTTTCAGCTGAACTTGAAGGGTTCTGTCTCCAGAGAGGCTGTTTCCTAGCTGCCCGTCTCCTCAAATTCACTGTAGGGGGATGAAGCTGAAGATGTTTTAGACTCTCCATCACTGTTGCAATCCCGTGGGGGAGTGGGAGCTTCCGGGAGCTCCTTGGCAGAGAGCGTTTCCTTACTGTTAGACCCTAAGGGATGGCAGTCCAGTAAGCTCTGCAGGTGTTTGATGTAGCTTATTGCAGCTCTCAGGGTCTCCACTTTGCTGAGGCGCTTGTCAGCAAATTCCTTGGGCAGGTGCTCTCTCAGGCGTGTGTAGCCCTCATTCACGCAGCGCACCCGCTGCCTTTCCCTCTCGTTCCTCTTTCGAATGAAGGCAGGCTCAAAGGAATAGTCATAGACGCCCACGTAGCCAGGGAATGGGATGTAGGAGATGCGACCCGCGTGCCCGCTGTAGGCTTGCTCCCAGTAAGATGGGTCCAGATGGAAGGGAACCCCAAAGGGCTCCCTCAGGGGGATCCCATGGCGATGCACATGGCTGTTAGCCAGGGACATAGCTCCTGGAAATGCAATCCTGTTCAATAGTCCATCATCATCTTTATTGCTCTCCATGCTTCTTTTTTTTCTCACCGGTGGAATGTCAGTTCCTGAATTTGGCTTCCAAATCTTGTATCAATCCAAGCAAGGAGGAAACATTTGTATAGGTACTCTCTGCCCCGCAGGCTGCAATTTCCTCCTGCGGTGTATAAAAACTCAGATCTCAAAAGCACTGCTAACGACTCATGAGGTCCACTCTGCGCCTGGAAATCAGCTCTAAGCCTTGTTGTTTTTATAGATGTAGGATGCCAGCTAATTTACAGACAGGTTTTGAGGACCATCACTCCACACTTTAAACCCTTCTTTTCCTCTGATCTTCATATTTCAAAAGATAATAAGAGGGTTCCTGTGTATTCCTTTTCTCCCTGCTTGAAATTATGACCATAAGAATTAATGCCAAACATAAATAATCTCCCAGGCTCTAAACACTTCTCATGTATTGTAATCCACAATATCGTTTGATATAATTGTCTCCAAAAGATGGGTAATTTGCAAAGTTTACAGGGATCTTCAAAGTTTTGGCAGAACTCCTCCCTTTCAGGAACCAAGGATCTTCTGTCATCTGAAAACTACCCAAAGGCTTTTCACAATGAAATCCAAAAGACAACTGCAAGCTTTGTTGTTTCGGCTGCTCTGGTCTAACTGAAACAGCTCACAAGCAGTTTGCAAAACTTAAATGGCATGTCTCTAGCTTTCTGGGGAAGCTGAGAAATCTTCAAAGGAAAGAGTGCTCTCTTGTGGTTGCAAGTCATGTCAGATCAAGAATGCATACGTGCAAGCATAAGAGGAAAACCGCTTTCTTCGCCCAAAGAGAGGCTTTTTCAAGAAGTATGTTTCACAAATTGAACACGAGCATTTTCAAAAAATCTTCAACGTTTTGCATGTTTCTGCTCATTGCAGGAATGTTCTGGTAATCACTATGAGCACCTGCCTCAGATAGACAAAGACGATGCCCTGATTGCCCCCTGTGTGGCTATTACTAGATGTTTACATAGATATGGGCTTACCTGATGGACCCTACACATAGCTTTAATTGGGGAGCTAAAAATCCCTTTTGACTGTGCCAGATCTGTGCTGCATCCTCCAGTTTGCCTGCAGCTTGCCAAGGAGAAGAGGTGGACTTTTGGCAGTGTAAGGCCATCACGTTCTCATCCGTGCCTTTCCTCTAAAATATCCTGTTGTGTTAGGATCTTCTGCAGCAACTGGAGGGTCTTTGCCTTTTCCCATGTTGTTTTTCAAGAGCTCAATAGTTACAACTTTTTCTGAAAACACAGCTTCACAGTTAACTGAACTTCCTTTTTTTTTGCCACCAACAGTTTGGGGAGTTGAACGTTTGGCCTGGGAGAGCTGTGGGAAGGGACGGATGTGAAAAGGTACAGACATGTAGGCTCTATCAAAACTGTTCTTTTGCTCAAAGTGAAAGTTTCCACCCTGTTCAGTCTTTCATGCCAAACTGCCTCAGACGCATGACTAACTGAAACAACATCCTCCACTCCGAGAAACACATCTATGTCTCTGCTGAGTCAGAAACCAGCAGCAATGATGTCAGTGTGCATTTTCAAGTCAGCCTTTGTATCTTTGCTGGGCTATCCTGCAGCTTTGAAAAACAATGGTAATCTTCAAAGTATAATGAACATACAGGCAGAGCGTTCCGGACAGACACGAGCGAGAACAATCCTGGACTCTGGTTTATGCCAGGGGCAGGATCTGCACCAAAATGGCTCAAAAGCCAGCCAACTATCCATCTACTTTTCCCTCCATCATTAACATTGCCTAGCAAGAGCTGGTGTTTGAAGCTGAAAGTTTTGTAGCATTACCTAAAAGTTAGCTAACACATTGCATGAGGGGTTGAGAACTTTTCCAGTCACAACTAAATGTCGTTCTAAAATATGTGCCATAGCTCAGATGGAACCTATGGGTGTGAGGCAAGAATTACTGTGGAACCCCCCATAGTATGTACAACTTCATTTCAGAGCAAATAATCAAGAGAGCCTTTCTGCCTTTTAAAAAAAATCTTTGGAAATGGTTGAACAGTATGGGCTTTTCAATACCACTTGCAATATAAGCTCTGCTGTCACAAAGGTCTCCAAGTAGAAATGTTTTCAGAAATGAATGCTTAAATGAAAATAACTCATTCACTGTAGCATTGAGGTAGGCCAGGACTTAAAGTTTTCTTAAAACAAAGAGGATGTTGGCCTCTAAGCAAATACCTGAAGTAGGAAAAGGACATCTGATTTGTGTCATCATTAGATTTAAAATGCTGTTCTCTGGCAGTATTCCTGTAAGGAAATGGAAGCATGCCTCTTGGGGGGTCTCAGGTGCCAGAATGCTTCACAGCTCTCTGTGACCTTGCCAGAAGCCTAGCCATGTTCAAAAGGCAGGGTTACATTTCAGTTCTGTCATGCAAAGGCACTATTCCCTGCCGCCAGACCTCTTCTCTATGTTTACTGTAAATGCAGGTCACCAACACTTCCCAGAGTGTCAGAATTGCACCTGTGCTAAACAGACATCTGCTCTTCCTACAGAAAAATCCACGTTGTTAATCCTTTAGAGAAATACATGAAGAAAAATTAGTAGTAAATGTTATTTGTTAACCTGAATGACTGAAGCTGATCTCATATCAAATGGACTCCGCAGTCTGATTTTGTTTCTGTGCAAGAGAAATAAGAAAACATGCCACGGGCTTTTTGACAACCTAACATCACTTGCTCGGAACGGGATTTGCCCCTGGGCAGGGAGCCAGCGCAAGGCCAACACACCATACGTCTCGCTGAAGGTCCTTGTTGAGAGTGCGAGCAGGATTAAAGCAACGTATCGTTCTCCTACCAACATCTGCACAAAGCAGGCCCTTCTCAACCTGTCTGCACATGCAGACTCAGTGAAAGTAGCAGGACTAGCCCACCAAAGGGTAAGGCTAATACGCATTCTTTTTAATTTTAAGAGTAGGTTAAGAGTACGTGGATAATGTCCCTCTCCTAAGAAAAGCCTTTGATCTCCTTTCTTACACTGTTTCTCCAATTAACTCCTCTTCACACCTTTGCTCAGATGATGCTTTGACTCCAGAATGCAGTATCCTCCACGCTGATAAAAAGCAGATGGCCTGGTTTGCTTTCCAGGTGGTACAAATCAGGTGTTATTTTCTGCTCTGCAATGGCAGAAAAGTCCTTCTTCAAAACTGTTGCAAGAGGATATTCAGGCTCTGAGATTCTGGAAGTTGTGCTGTTTCTATTGATATTGTATGTTTTGCCTTGTTGTTGTTGGTTTTTTTTAATACAAAGTTTAAATGGGGACTCTGGGACATTCCTTACATAATCCATTGCCTGTGGCATTCAAACAGGTTCCCTTCCTTCTCTCCCTCCTTTTACTTCACTATACGCACTTAATTACCCAGCCAAAACTAATAGAAAATATTTCTGACATACCTAAAAATGAACCATTGAGGCATCTTCCTTCCAGATATAACTTAGTTGTGGTTTTAGTTGCATATATCCTAACACAATATCTACAAGAATGTAATCTTTGTACAAAAGAACCCTCAACTTGTTCCCACTCCCACAAGAATCATGAATAACACTACTGACATTACACCATGATTGCTTTGAATTACTTTGAATTACTCAAAGTAACAGATTCTCCTTGACACCGTGTCCCTCTGCGTCTGAAATAAAAGTCGTCAGTGGAAATATTGTAGTAGAAACACAAAAGTCAGCTGAACACATGCAAGCCCACCTATTTCCCAACAGATGATGTCTCAACTCTTTTATCTGTGAACACATTACTGAGAAGAAGAAAATAGATCAGGAGTTTAAAAAGAAGCCCTCCCAAAATTGTGCATTTATTATATTTTACTGTGCTGGAATTATACTAAATTCTAGTGTTTATTATACATATCGTAGTTTGTCTGGGCTGCTGCAATTTATTAACAGATATAAAAATGTTAAATTAACAGCTTCTCATATTAACTGCATACCACAGAATTACAGTAATAACTGCAAGTTAGACTAAGATTCAGGAGTAAAAGACTAAATAGTTTTGTGCCTCTCTAACCCTGTTTTATCCCTTAGCATGGGCCATCTCTCTCCAGCTCTGTAGCAAGAAGTGAGAGCTACTGACCCAGGTTTCATGCTGTGACTATCACCAAAATGCAGGCCTGCAAAGTGCTGACAAGTCAATAAAAGGTGGTGAGAAATTTGGATTTTTGATGTTGTAACAGTTGGCTTCAACCATTGCTTTTTGCCTCATCTTCATTCAGTATAATTCTGCTCACTTTGAGAAAGAACCCAAGGGCAGGTTTGCAATAGCAGAAGAGAACTGATCGTATCGAGATGTGGGCATGGTCCAGCAGGGACTTCGCTCACGCTACAGAGAAGGACTGAAGCGTGCTTACTGCATCTCTTTCCCCTGTAGTTTCATGAGTCTCCCTTATCTTTCAGTACGCCTCCAGGATCTGAAGACAACTTGAAAAATAGCTCTGTAATTTGTTCCTCACGCAGCAAGTACTGCTATAAATGTCAATAAACTAAGCTTTCAGGGGTCATAGTGCAGTTGTCTTATCAAAACACTTCACATATAATAAAAGTGTTTGGTATATAAAAAATATCTTCCCTTGCAGAAGAAATGGTTCTCAAATGTGTTTTATCACAATACCTTGGGCGTGCAGAGCACATCTCTGTAGACACAGATTAATTTCTCATTCGGTGACACTTCATATTATCACTGGCTTCCTTTGATATTTGTGCTTTAAACCGGTAGTTAAGATATCACTTGTTCAAGGGAGTAAAGTGACTACAAAAAAGCTGGAATCTCGGAAGACTCATGTTTGACAGTAGGAGAAAAGACTCTTATCTGCATTTGACTACATCCAATCTGGCTCATAGGCTCAAAGTATTACTTTCAGCTCAGATAGTTGAAATAGCGCAAGGATTTCAGCGCCAGGGTAGTTCTGCGGTAGAATTACGCTATCATAATTGGCATTATGACAAGCTGAGGGCTTTGGGATAACCTAGTGTTTCAGG